TTATGGTGAGATAAAGCTGGATCCAAGCTAAATATTACAAGTGGTTCAATGATTTTTAGTGTCTACTGCTAAGGTATTTCGTAATCTAGTGCTAACATCCACACCAAATTTCAGTACCTGTAATAGAACACATTAATCATTGCTTTTGGGTCACTACACTCGTTACATCGAAAATTATATAAAATACAATTAGCACCTGTAAAAACATATTTAACCAAATGATCATGTTGAAGATGAACTTGCGACCTGTCTAGGGTGTCCCTCTACTCTCGCATAGTGATGGCTGGATATGGACTAAAATTTGACATAATTTTCTTTATCCATGAGCTGATTAAAAAGTCTATTGCAATTAGGGGAGATATAATTAAATCATTAAAACTGTTAAGGCCCCTTTTACACTGAATAACATCACTGCTGTTAAAAATCAGCAAGAATGTATAAAGTCTTTTGTGTAGTCTACTAGCCTGAGTATCAAAGCTGCAGAACTGCTATGATTATCGTCACACTAAAGGCGGTTTTCCATTTTTGCCCTGACCTGGACATGTTATATTAGGTTGTAGAAAGTATGGTGGGAACATTATCTTTGGTTGAAAGAAACCTAAAGGTACTATCTCACTAAATGTGACTGTTGGCAACTAGATTACAAATGACATTTACGAGAGAGTCTCTACAACGTCTCTCAACATCCAACAATTCTCAGTTTCCTGGCACAACTCTCATGGTCTTCTCACTTGAATACTGAATGATGAAATACTACTCTGCGATGCAATATGAGTAGACTTTGTTTTGAATACAGTCAATTCAGGGCTGTTTATTTTGTTATGGTTCTTTGCTCAACTTTTGCCCTTCCCATCTTCAGTTCCACTTGAACCTTACAATGCAATTGGACTCTTCTGTTTCCATTTCTGGCAGGCACAATTTTGAACGGTGACTAAAGGTGTAAAAGCTACCACAAAGTTTGTTGTAGAGATGATAGGCCTTTTTGATTGACTTGTATTTGATTTGTGCCATCATGGTGATGGACAAGCTGCAATAGGAGGATCCAAGAGACTACACTTCTTTGCCATCATTCTAGAAAAAGCCAAAAAGAAAATTTTATCCTTCCCCAAACTTTGAAATAGTTTGTCAAATTACTGTTTCACAGCATCATTGACAAGGAAATCATATTCAGTTTGTGCCATATTATTGTCACTCTCATTAAGCAGCACTTATCTGTCATTACTGAAGGGTAGATCAGGAAAAAAAAGCTTAAAATATAAAGGAAAGCATCACTGAATCGACACTCGTTTGAGTCAAGCATTTAAAATTCCCAATTCCTAACATCAGGCTGGAATAGCTTTTCTAAGAATGATCCTTATGGCTAGGAACATCACACAAAACCATGCACTACAAAAGACGATTTTCTAAAATATCCCCTCTCTCAATTAATTTGCAGTGAACCATGCTCTCGTACGTCTGGCCCACAGTGCAGATAGTCTCAGAGCCATTCTGCGTGGCAGGCGTCTGTCATTTCTCAGGCAATGTGTTTGGCCCTTAGCCAGCAAGCTGGCAGCTGCCTTTGTGCGTCGTGACCACTTGAAGCTGGAGATTTCACCAGGAGACGCGTGTATGCACAAACAGTTTGGTGCATATTTGCACACACAGACACACACTGTGAAATGGACACACACACTAACAAATTGCCAGCAAATTTGTATAATTATGCTCCTGACACCGCCTTTCAGTTTGCCCTCTCAAACTGGCTCTCAGAATACTTAATCAGCTATCTTGTATGTGCATGCACGTGCACGTGCCCACGCACTGCAAACTTATGCAACGTACATTTACATACACAGCATGCATGTAAAAAACATGAACCCTTAGTCACCCTCTGGGAAGCTTTTGTTTTCTATAAACAGAAATGCATTTATAGGCACACAACTGGAGGAACAAGTAGACAGTTTGTTTTTCACAAAATAATATTTCTGAACAATAGAAATGTGCAAGCACACACACACACAACAACCCTTATGTTATCTGAAGCACTCTGTTAAAAACCTTGGAGTGGTTTTTGACTCGGATTTTAAGTTCGACAAACAGATCAGTTCAGTTCTGCAGAGAAGCTTCTTCCAACTGCGGCAGGTAGCTAAGCTCAAGCCAGTGCTGTCTAGACCCGACCTTGAGACACTAGTCCATGCATTCATCACAACCCGCCTGGACTATTGTAATTCACTGTATGCTGGGGTCAGCCAGGCCTCTATCTCACGGCTACAGCTCGTCCAGAATGCTGCAGCTCGGCTCTTAACCGGTACACCGAGGTATGAGCATATCACACCAGTTCTGTCCTCCCTACACTGGCTTCCTGTGAGAACTAGAATTGATTTCAAAATTCTCCTCCTGACCTATAAGTGCCTAAATGGCCTCGCACCCATCTACCTCTCTGAGCTACTGGAACCATATGTTCCCTCTCGGGCTCTGAGATCATCCGATCAGCTGCTTTTGGTTGTTCCAAAAACACGACTGAAGCTCCGAGGAGATCGGGCGTTTTCAGTCATGGGTCCCAAACTGTGGAACAACCTACCCCCCAACATTAGGCATGTCACCTCCCTTCCTGTGTTCAAATCCCTGCTAAAAACGTATCTGTTCTCTCTGGCGTTTCATACTGTGTGAGTTGATTTAGTATATCTTGTTCCATGTCTTCATTTTAATGCTGTTGTTTTAATTTTTTAAGGTATATTCTTACTGCTTTTTATTTCTCAGTGTTACCCTTAGTGTTAAGCACTTTGATAACAGTCTATCTGTTTTAAATTGTGCTCTATAAATAAATATGACTTGACTTGACTTGACTTATGCACATTAAATTAGACACAACATAATGCCAGGTTATTTTGGGGCTATGGTAGCTTGGTGGTCAGTGCCGCCGTCTTGTAATCCTGAGGTTGCGGGTTTGAGCACAGGTTGCATCATCAAGGGCATCCGGCCTAAAACAAATAGCCAAATCTTTCATGCGGGTTCGCTCGCTGTGGTGACCCCTGAAGAAGGGAGCAGATGAAAGAAACTTACTATATTGCCAGATTATTAAGATGCAAGTTACATCTCTAGAGTACAGTGGCCGACTGGTGCAAATGCGCAGCAAAAGGCTAAACACGTCGCAATCATATGAATAAAGCAAACACCCAAACAAATATAAAAAAAAATTATGCAACAGAGAAACCCGTCTGCAAACCAATGCAAAGGAAAAATGCTGTAAATAACAACAACAACAAAAAAAAAACACTAGAAAACCCTTAACAACTGCAAGTACTTCTTTCTTTCCTCCAGCTTTTTTCTGGGCATCCTGTTAATGTCTTTACAGGAGGTCTGGCCTCATATGACTTTGTGGTCGAGTCCCCCCTTGTGGTCTGGTGCATTTCTGTTTTGCGGAGTGAGCGTTTCTTACTTCCAGTTGTTTTGGTATTTGCAGTGTTTTTCTTTTGCATTTGTTTTGTTGGTTATGTTTTTTTCTTCTACAGTATTTACAGTGATTGCAGAGGTTTTCTTTTGTAAAGTTTTTTCTGTTGCTTTTGCTTTTTTGTGTGTTTTGGAATTTGCATTATTTATGTGTTTTGCAATAGGGCTGGGCCATATCTTATCGTTCAAGTTAATACCAATAAAAAAAAACTTGCCTGGGAAAATGAATTATATCATGATATGCTAATTTCATGGTGTAAATACGTCAGTGTTTCCCCTACCATTATACAAGCGGGGCGCCCCGCACCGTTAACAGAACCAAGCGCAAAGAACTACCAAACCGAACTGTGCCCCCCACCCTCACCCCCCAGCGCAAAAACTGCCGGTACAAATGCAGCTTTATTTAGGGGAAATAAACAGGCTTTCGAACAGTATAAGATTAATTGCCGAGAAGAATTGTTACATCAAAGAAATCATTGATCAAACACTAATTTCTGTACTCTTTGTGCTATTTATAGATAAAACTGGTATCCTCATTTTCAGTTAAGTTTTAAGTTATGTTAAGTTTAGCTCCTGTGCACATATTATGAGCACTACAACCTAACTTTAGCTCAGTTCGATGGGATTCAGGCTACTTAAATCCCCACAACTGAAGTTATCAACCGCAACTAAAAACAGGACTCTGGTACCTCACAGCTCATAACAAAGTGACAGACTGGTGTTGGTAGTAAGGAGAGGGTGGAGTGTAGACAACTAATTATGTCTGCAAGGAGAAAACTAATTAGTAACAAACTCACTTATCCATAAATTTTGTCATAAAGGGCAATGCACTCCATGGCCCATTAGCATCAAATCTTCTGCAATTGCTGCAAAAGTATCACCTACTGGGTCCTGCTTATTGAAAATGCCTGACAGAAAGTGAGCAAGACAGTGAGAAATAATCAAACAATGTATAAATGAAAGTTTTTCTCTTCCCACACGGGTGGACATTCACTCTGCCAGAAAGTTTGATGCGTTGTCTTAATGCCTGTGGCTCTGGCTCAAACCGCCTTGCAGAATCAAAGTGAGGAGCTGAATGACCTTGAAATATTAGCATGATGGAATACCAATGTTGAACATTATTATTCCACGGGAGGATGGATGAAAGAGCAAAATGATGAAAAAGGGATGAGAAGATGAATGGATAGCCACAGTGAAGGAGGGATGGGTTTATAACCTCTCATTAAACTTAAGTCTGATGGATGGATGAAAGGAGGAGGTGGCAAGTGATAATGAAAACAGGAGAATTACGCCTGACTCTTTGCCCTCATGTGTCTTGTGGGTGTTGAGAAGGGCTGGAAAGAATGACTTAAAAGCGTCTTAAGTTTGCCACTTTAATCTCAACTCCTCCGACCTGTTGAAGTGGTAAATAATCCCCTTTACGTTTTGCATAATCTGTCAACGAGTTTAATAGGACACAAAGTGATTTTCAAGACTCTTCCATCTTTGTCTAATCTGTTTCCAATTTATTTTTTGTCATTTTCTCCTCTTCTTTTTCTGTTCTTCTAAAACGTCTTTGTTTCTCTTCACAGAATAACTTTCTGCCACCTGCCATTCCAGAGTAAATGGCTATATATCGGCACAGAACGAGGAAATATCCACATTGTCAATGTGGAGTCCTTCATGCTCTCAGGCTACGTCATCATGTGGAACAAAGCCATTGAACTGTGAGTGGCCATGACCTCCTTTTTTACTCTCTGACGATTCCTTCTAAATGTCTGTCTGTGTCCTTTCTTTTTTTCCAATGCTCACAGCTGGACTGTTTAACATACAAGTTTTGTGTCACAGAACTGGATTTCACATCCAAAATTTATAATTTAATTAAACTTGAACACCGGTACAATCAGACAAACTAAGAAACAGAGCTAACAATTAATATAATTTATGATTTAGTGGGTAGTTAAGGTACGGCTTTAAAATTGACCCATATCTTACCTTTCTGACAAGAGTTTTAGTTTTTCTATTGGTGGTTCCCTAAATTGGGGATGGGACCCCACTATGAGTCATGAAACACAAAGTGGGGGACTTGAGAAGATTTACATGAATCAACTGTACTATCAATTAAATTTTTAATAGTGTATTTAGGCTTAATTATTAGAACCAAAGTAAAATACATAGCAATGACTGGGTAGGAAAACCATAATGCTTAAAGAGGCTCCTTTTTAAATGGTTTATTAGTAATGTTTGTCTTGATCAGACCAAAATCTGAAATGTTTGTCAACCACCAGACCCAACCTTGAAACATTAGTCCATGCCTTCATCACAACCCGCCTGGACTATTGTAACTCACTTTATGCTGGGGTCAGTCAGGCGTCCATTTCACGTCTCCAGCTCGTCCAAAATGCAGCTGCTCGGCTTTTAACTGGTACACGTAGGTCTGAGCACATCACACCTGTTCTGTCCTCCCTTCACTGGCTTCCTGTGCGATCCAGAATCGACTTCAAGATTCTCCTCCTGACATATAAGTGCCTAAATGGCCTCGCACCCCTCTACCTCTCCGAGCTCCTGGAACCATATGTTCCGTCTCGGGCCCTGAGATCATCGGACCAGCTTCTTTTGGTCGTTCCAAAATCACGCCTGAAGCTCCGAGGGGATCGAGCTTTTTCAGTCAGAGGTCCCAACCTGTGGAACAACCTGCCCCTCAACATCAGGCAGGCCTCCTCCCTCCTGATGTTCAAATCCCTCCTTAAAACGCACCTGTTTGCTCTGGCGTTTAATACTGTGTGAGTTAGTTTATTTTGTTCTGTGTTACCTCATTTTAAATTCTGTTGTTTTATGATTGACGTTTATTTTTACTGCTTGTTTTTCCTTAGTGTGATCATTAGTGTGTGTTATTGCTCCAGTAATTTTAAGATGTTTTTGTTTTGCTGCCTATGTTTTGCTACATTTCTGTTAAGCACTTTGATAACAGTTTATCTGTTTTAAATTGTGCTCTACAAATAAAGATGACTTGACTTGACTTGACAATTCATCTTAGCCCCATCAAACTGGTTGACCCACTATAGGTGCTATTTATAAGACTGAATTTGTTGTGGCTCCTTGGACGGATAAAGTCTTTTGGATGAAAGACGAAACGTTTCAACGCAAAGAAACCATCCAGAGGACCTGACCTAACTTTGTTGGCTTTTTGTACCTGGATTATTGGGCATGAACTTTGATGTTATGAACCACTTTGGCCATGGCTGCCTCAGACGAGTCGGCAGGGGAGAGGGCGCACTCCAGAAACCATTTTATCACCATCAAACTGGCAAACTGGTTGACCCATTATATATATAGGTGTTATATGACTGAGGTTGTTGTGGCTCCTTGGACTGATGACGTCTTTTGGATGAAAGATGAAACGTTTCAACAAAAAGAAACCATCCAGAGGACCTGACTTAACTTTGTTGGATTTGGCAACCACAGTTTTGTTGTTGTTGTTTTTAACCAGACCATCTCAGATACTTCTTATCTGTCATACAGGGTCCCTTAAGGTTCTATTTTGTGTCCAGTCTTGTTCTTGTTCAGCAATTTCCCTTTAGGACAGATGATTAATAAATTTAGCTTCTTTTTCATGTTTATGCAGATGATATGCAGCTATCTTCTAAGAACTCTTAAGTTTTAAAAACTGATAAGCTTACTTTACTGGTCAGACATTAATAAGAAAATTATGTACATCTAAAAAAGTTGGTAAGTTTCTTTCGGCTGTTCCCTTCTTCAGGAACAATGAAGGAACTCGCATGAAAGATTTGGCAATTGTTTTACACCGAATGCCCTTCCTGATGCAACCTCGGCTCCAACGCCCAACCTCAGGATTACAAAACCACGGCACTGACCACCAAGCCACCGCGGCTCCCTGCAATATTAGATGTACCATTTAATAAACCCTAAAAAAACAAAATACCTAATCATTGCTCCTGACATCATGGTATAAGTCCACAAATATGTCATCCAGGCTTAGCTGTCTAGTTAGGTTTGAGAAACACAGGTTTTGTGTTTAACCTTTCAGTATCTCCTTTCACAAAACAGTTTTAAGATTTGGCTGTGAAGACGCGTTTCTTGTTAAGCTTCGTCTGATTGATCAGAAACGATCAAACGGCCCATGTCTTGTGATTCATTAATTACTCCAGCATCGCACAACAAAAGGAGGCATGGAGTTTAGTTCATCTGTGATGATGTGGACTGCTACACATAAAATGATTGTTGTACATGTAATGAACATATATCTGTTGATATTATTCATAAATTGAACGGATTCTTTCATTTTTCTGGACTGAGTAATATCGTGCATTGAATAATTAAATGTGACGTGAGACGTTAATTTTCTTTGACCCATCAAAATGAATGTGGTCATTTATTAACAGAATCAAAGTTTAACATCAAACATTTACATTAATTTGGCAAAATTGATTACAATAACACATAGCTTAATTAATTAGCTTTACAATTAGGAAACCATACGGCCATGGTTTCCACTTGCAGCTTTTAAACCAACAGACATTTCTGAAAATATCTGGATTAATTACTGGCAGATAGAAGAGTTTTAAAGATGGGAAATGAAGGAGTTTAAATGGAAAGGAAAATGGATGAGGGAAAAGTGGATGAAGATGTAGGTCTGTAGACCAGAACGACAACACGCTCCTTTGGACGCAGCTTAACCCACGGTACACTTTGGTTGAGATCGACTCTTTTACCTTTGCAGATGATAGTTTTGGCGTCGGTGTAGAGTTTCCTTTCAACTCTTTTCAGCGTCTCCGTAAGAACAGCTGAAACCTCAGGAGTCATGAGATCATCCCAGAACAGACTTCTTCATTGTTCCTCTGAACTTCTCTCGTTCAGGAACTTCTCGTTCGAGGTCCTCCCTGGAACGTTGTTCAGCTTAGTTCCCTTGTTCTCCTGGAACTGCATTCTGCATTCTGCATTCAGTATTCTGCCTTCTGCGTTCTGTATTCTGCATTTTGCGTGGAACTAGGAAGTGTTGAACCTTTTAAAGAGGTCACTTCCGGTTCCTCTGAGAACTTCCTGATTGGTCGAAACGAACCAACAGGGTGTGGTCTTAGTGATGTAAGAGGTTATTAAAAGTCAAGGAGAAAGATTAGGTTGTTTAAGAACAGACAGAAAGATGTTTTGAAGAAATTAGACTTTTTGGAGTCAGTCTCCTCCTATCTGTCTGAAAAAGTTAAACATGACATTTCTTTCCAGTAAACATGTAGTTGACCGAAACTTGACTTTTGACCGACTTACAACCTGCTCATTTCAGACAGAAAATCAAAATGCATAATTACTCTTGTAACAAACATTAACTTGATTTCTACTTTGAATGAGGATTAAAAATCATTTATACTGTTTCACAGTTGATTTAAAATGAGTAGTTCACTTCAACATTTAAAATGATTTGAACTAAACACACTTTTGATTATCAAGACATTTGTAAAATAGTAATGATAATAAAAGAGAGAGTGTTCTTTCAATTGATCAGTGCAGGACACACTTAGAAAGTCTCTGGATGAACTTAATTTTGTGTTTCTGGACTCAAATCAATGAAGTAACAGTTCTTATCTCAGGAAGGCCCTCAGGGCCAGATTTGACCTGAGGCTTAGTTCACTACATACATCTCCTAAACTAAATTTCATGGCCGGATGATCACAGAGATTATCAGTCATTACTAGATCACATCGACAAGTCACAAATGCGGTTTACCCATTCATAATAACCATTACTAGTGGCATGAAAATGTGACTGACTTCAACCCTCTATGCATTCTTGGTCCATTCTGAAATCACGCCAAGACAACCAGAATGTGTCTCAGGCCTGTTAAGAAGTGGTTTGTGAAAGGAGCTAATGCCTCTTGACAGTCAACTGTTCTTATTCTGTTTCTTCCATTCGAGAAATACTTCAAAATTTAAAAGACTGGTTTTAAAGCCTCATTTGAAACATTTTTCTACGTTTTACTTTCCTGTTTAGATTGTCTAAATGTGATTTTTGCTCTAGTTAATAGCCCTTGATCATCTTCAGGTGGTACAACATGCTGGAACAAGCAACTGGACACACAAGTCCTGTTTAAATGTCTCTTTGATAATTACCTTTATCTTTCCATTTTAAAACCTTGGTGTTAACTTCAGAAACTTTGGACAGTTAATTGTATATAATTCTACTGAGGACAAAGGTAAATTTATATCAAATAATACTGACTCGTTAAAGTTTTAAACATGAGTTTGGATCCTGAGGTCATCTAGCCAGAGATTATTAGTACTTTGTAGTTCTTCAGTCCTGATTTTAAACCAGAGGAGATACATTTTTCAGGTAGTTGCATCTTGACTGTGAAATGAGCTACTTTTGTTTTTACATTATACCGATAGTGTTAATTCCAGCTAAATACTTCCTTTATTCAGTCAAGATCTTAGTTTTTATGACAATAATGTATTCTCTGCAAGCTTTTATCTGATTGTTTTATTGTATTTTCCTTTATATTTTATTCATTGCTAAATGTGATGACACATGAAGTCATTTATAAGTCAGTATCAGATTCCAGGTAGTGAGCACCCCATCTCTTTTCTGTTTGAAAGGATCTGTCAGCTTGACAGGCTCCATTTTGGCTTCCTGCTGTAGAGACTTAAATTATTCACCGGAGCATTTTGCTTCACACATTTCCCTCATCCCTTCATAGTATCTCAGAGTATATTTGTGT